CCGTGGGCTCGACCAAAAATATACCCTTTGAACCCGTATAAACGGGTTCAGGGTCGGTTTACCTCCCCGAAAGAGACTCCGCCCTTCGGCGGAGCCTCGTTCGGGTTCCTCCCCGCCCGAAGGCAGAGAGTTCAACCGTTCAGCCGGTCGTCCGACCCTCGTTTCTCTTACTACTCCTACTTATATTAGGTGGGAGAGTCTATTAACTATAGAATAGGTGTGTTTCACCATAACACTTTCGAGGTTTATTCGCAAATGAATTTAATTATCTTAGATACGTTTCTTTTTTTAGAAAACCCTGGTAAAAAGATGTTTCACATTTTTTATCCCCCTACACACACGAGAACACACTTAATTTTAAGAAATTCATTTTTGTAGAGCTTAATGTTTATATTAATTATAAGCACAAGTCCTTGGAGAAATTAAATCAACATTTTCTTTGTCAAACAGGATAACCTAGTTAAAAAAAATCTGCTCTGAATCTAAGATAGTATTTAATTAGAAAAGTTTTTGTTTTTATAAATAAGTTATATTATGAACATTATTTTGAGAAAAAAATCGTTGAGTAAGGTATTTTTACAGCAACTGTTTTCATTTTTTTAAAATTGTAATTATAATAATTTATAAACTGAAATCTTATATTTCTGTATTAATTTATAGCGGTCAAGTGATATTATTATTAAATAAAGGCTATATTTATTAATCATGAATGGAAAAGTTTGCTACAATTCAGTGAGGCCAGTATTTTAAAAAGAAATTTGTGTATAAACGTGCCGATTTTGGTAAATATGCAAGTTTCTATACATTATCGCAAAATAAGAGCGGTAACTATAATAAATTTAAAATTCGTTTGCAATTATCTAACAGTTCATCAATAAGCCCCTCCATAAGTAAGGTTATAAAACCAAATTCAATAAAATATTAGATTACTTAGAATATTTTCCTAAATTTTTAAGATTAATGGGTAGTGTATATATATATATATATATATATTAGGCGTTCACATTTTATTCGTCATATAATTGTTATGCCCACCTTAGAAAAAATTCCTAGTCTTTCAAGAGAGTTGTCAACACCTCATAAAAACACCTACTTCCTTATTAAAACTGCTTTTCTGAAATATTTTAAACTAAAAAGAATATTTGTTTCAAATCAAATTAGACTTTAAATCAGCTAAACGTCCTCAAATAAAGTTTCAGAAAAGTATATTTTATTTTTGAAAGATTTTTTTTAATAAAGAGAATCACGTTGTGTTGAAAGATTTTTCAATATGGACGACTTTATCGTTTTTACGGATAATAAAAAAACTCATCTTAATCAATTTAAATTCAGTTTGAAATACAGCAAAGTATTTTGCTTATTGAAAATGTTAAATTTAATCTATTAATTTGAAATTAAAACTAAGATAAAAGCTTCGAAAAAGATTTTTTTTTCATTTTTAAAAATGCATTTTAAATCTTCGGTATCGTTTTTCCTTGGCGGTGCCTAGTTTTAGGGTATGCTATATTTATTGGTAAAAGTGTTCAATATCAGAGATAAAGTGTGTAAATATAAAAGTGGACACTGAAGTCAACCTCTTGTGATGACAGTGTTTCATTCTTGAGGGCAATCTTCATGGCCTAAAGATTGCGTTCAAGCGTGCAATAGACTGCCATCCCTTCTCTAAATAAGGAAGGTCTGTCTGCTGACAAAAATAATACTTTGTAATCTGAGTATATACACAGATTTTGCAATGGGACTTAATTATTACCGATGTGCAAACGTTTTCAGATTATTTTTATTTCATTAAAAAGATAAAAACGGACATGTTTAAACAAAAAGAATAACAAAAATAGAATAGTAACAACAATTAACATTACTGTAAAGTGGTAACATCGAAATACAACACGATTAATAAGAAAGACTACTAAACTGATTTGTCGATCCTCTCACATCAGAGAAAAAAAAAATCGAGTGTGATGAATGTTAGATGTAACTAAGTTCTATGCTAACAGTTTCGTCTGTCACACACCACACTTATAGAACTCTTCCAGCTTATTGCTTCCCAATCAACTTGGATCATGAAAAATTTAAGCATCAATTGTTATCTTGTATCTTCTTAATTCCTGTTTTTATTATTCTCACTCACTAATGTTTCTCGTTTTCTAATATTCTTTCACACTCAGTAACTCCTTTGCTTTATTGACTTGTTTGATATGCATAAAAATGTGCGTACATGCGTGGTATGCTTAAAGATTAGTTAAATAGAAGACAAAAGTAAAGCCTTTGTAGAATTGACAATTTTATTGCAAAATACAGTATGACAAGTGAATACAAAAATCATGGATATTTTTAGAGGGAAATAAAAGTTAATTGTTCACCAAGGATCCCAGTCAGAAAGTTTGTTGGGAGACAGAGAGAGCAAGACAGGAAAAAGTTTAATATTTAATACATTTTTTACCCACCTCAATCTATTCAATAATTAAGTTTTGAATTGTATAAATCATTGAATTAAAATATAAATTTTTATGCTAGTCATAAAAAACAGTAAATGAGTAGCAAGCAACAAACAAGTTAACGACTCCAGCTCTTGATCAAACCAATTGACAGAAACAGTTTCATATTAGCTGCACTCACTCACATAAACATTGCAGTAAATTAATAATGATCACCAGGTTTTCGATGGCTGAAATGATGAGGATTGGGTTGTTTTTCTCTCTCAAAAAAAAATAAAATAAAATAAAATTAAAATAAAAATAAAATAAAATAAAAATGTTGGTTTATCCATCATACCCTCAATCTGTCCTCTAAGTGTCAAATTCTCCAAGTCCTCTTTTCTGGCACACATAATGAGGAAAGAGAGCTTAGAGAAATTGACACACACAAAGAACATATTGAAGGCAAGATGGACAAAGGAAAGCAGCAAATAACCCATGTAACAAGCTTGTGTAAATGGATGGCAGATCAGGAAAAGATAATAAAAAGCAAATATTACCAAGAGCTACAAAAGGACAGAAGCTGTGGAGAGCCATGATTACTCATGTCCCTTCAGGACATGGCACGCAAAAAATAAAATGCTAGACTCTGGGGCAATATATTACAATAATGCATTTCTTAAAATTAACCTCAGTGAGATATAGAGTAAAAGTCAAAGACTGGTATTAAAACAATAGACTTGTAAAATCTTAATTACTGTATAGTGACATTGTCACCCCCACTTTTCAGTGAAAACTACAGACTAAAGAGTAGCAGTTTTGAGACTTAATGTGAAACTTGTTTAAAAAATAAATAAATAAATTAAAAAAATATTAAAAAGAAAAAATTTTCAGAAGGCAAAGGAAAAGAATTTGTTAATCTGACTTTTACAAACAGAAACTTTTATTTTATTTATTTTTTTTTTTTTTGCTGATTCTTTGACAAAAGATTACAAAATGCATGTAACACTTCAGCTGTTTGATTTGTTTTTTTTTTTTTCACTATTCTACTAGTAAGATATATTAGCAATTTTACAATCCTGGAAAGGCAGGACAAGTTCCTCCCAACCAATTTATTTTTTCTTTAGTGGCGAATACATTTCAGCAAGTTAATTTGGCACTCAAAATATCATTCTGACATTATACTTCATCAATTTAAAGTAATTATACCTACAGTCAAGAAAAGTTTGCATTTTAATACCGGTCTTTATTTTAAAATTATAAACCTCTAGTAATAATATATATAATACTCACTAGGAACCTATATACTTTGGTTTATTGCCATATTCCCCCCGCTTCTCCATTGAGTAATAAATTTCAATTTTAGTCATGGTTCCTCATTTAATCCGCCTGTATATATTTGGCTTGTGCTGTGTGAACTGGTTTCATTTTATTTAAGGTACCATGTTCTTCAGAAGAATTGTTGGTCAAAAAAAAAACAAAAAAAAAAAAAAATTCTTGAAAGAATATATTTTTGTATATTTAAGGCAATATACAAATTCTGTGGTGTCAAACTTTTGTTATACATCTCATTTTTGCTATCCATACCAGAGGTCAATATTAGAGCCCAGGTAAAAATGCCGATTTACAAGATGGGGCAAACCACTTTGAAGATTGGTGGAATAAAATCTTGCTACCTCCATTTCCACATGTGAAAGCATTAAGCAGAGTAAAGTCCCAGTAAAGCCACATGTAGTGGCTGACTGGAAGTTCAATTCCCATGGTGCTTTATTAGCTTGGATGCAGAATACAAACTGATTTTGCATCTCAACTCGCACAGATGATTATCATGGCTTTTGATATAAAACCTATTCCATGAAAAATTCAAGTTTTAAAACAGAAGTTATATAAACAATTGCTGTATATCTAGAGTTAATAAGAGTAAACAAAATAAAATATGTCAACTTATCTTTTCAACTCTAGTATCTAGTATCGACTCAATGATAAGTCTGAACATTTCATCTTTATTCATTTACTATTAATGCTCTATTTCTTAATGTTGAACTTACAAAGGCTGCTCACCTTAAAAGTATTATCCTCTAGAAATACAATGGCTGATGGCAAAATGCAATTGTCTATTATTATTTTAGCTTTATCATCATTATCATCATTTCATTACATCATATCATATCATTTTTATCATTATTGTTTTATCGTTACTATCATTTTATCATATATTATTATATCATTACTATTACTATCATTTTATCATCATTACTATCATAATTATTATTTTATCATAATCATTATTATATTTCATATAATAATTTCCTTCAGGTTCAATTTTCATATTTAGGAAAAAAAAAATTTAAAAAAAAATAATAATTCCAATTTACAGGACTGAAGAAGCCATATGACAAGCTAAAAGTCTTGCATATTTATTTATGGACATTCTAGTTAAGACAAAGAAACTTTGAGATGAAGTGCCAAATGCTGGAGAAATGATGAACAATCCAGGAATAAATTGATACTAACTAGAGAATGGCCTGTCCCAGGGTGCTTGTCCCTCTTCCCACCACATCTAAAAGAAAAATAACTGCTAGCTACAGAGAGAAAAAATACAGACTGACAGGGTGAGAAGAGGAAAGACAGAGGAAAGAAACAACATAAATATTAACCATTTCTAAAGTCATTGCTCAATCTGGAACCACATCAATATCAGGAGTAATAAGTCCCAATATCAAGCATTCTATAGGGTGTTTCAAAAGTCACACAACAATTGGTAGAAAACACACTTGTGAAATAACAATAATGAAAAATTTTCATAACATCGTCTTCCATAATTCAACCAATAAAATTTCTTAATATATTGTCACATACAGAAACATGATTCTGTTTGGTAAATAAATATAAAATTTACAATGTTATCAATGGTAATGTGACTCCTGAAACACCCTGTACAAGGCTGAAAAATACTCTGCCAAACGACTTCTCAAAATATGGCCAAATAACCAAAATTTTAATTTATATATATATTGAATAAAAACAGACCACTTTAAGGTTCCATGTAATAAATTATTTCACCACAGCCCTTTTAAAGGGCTCTGGATCATCAGACTTTACTTCCAAAGGTTGAAATTTGAATTTCATTTCAACCTTTGGGAGTAAAGTCTGATGATCTGATCCCAAGCCCTTTAAAAGGGCTGTGGTGAAATAATTTATTACATGGAATCTTAAAGTGGTCTGTTTTTATTCAAATTTATTTGCTCTGAATTTACATTGAGCTCTCTGGATATCATCCTCCTTGGGTCTACCCATACAGATTACCTAGTTTTGCATAAACTATATATATATATATTTTTGAATTCTTATTTGGTCAAGCCAAGAAATTACTAGCATCCTTTCATATAAAAGAGACAATTGGGAATGAGTAAACAAAAACTAATTAACTTTAAGAAATTAAAACTTAATTATTTGTTAATCCAGATTTACTTGAGTGTAATAAATCATAGCTGTTAGGCAAGGGCATTTATGAAACTACCAACAAGAACTGAAAATACCATCAATGATTACTACACTTTCTCACAGAGGTGTGCATATATAAATCAAAATAAGATATACTAGATATGACAGTGTATGTCCGATTGAACTCAAAGGTGATTTAATACAAATTTAAGATTTTTTTTTTAATATAAATTTCTATGCAATATTAATTATGAAAGGCATCATCATCAATATCTGGTCTGACTGCATTTATTTTTCAATTTACATACAATTCTTTCATCTAACCATGAAAAAACAAAAAAACAAAACAAACAAACAAACAAATTTCAGCAAAACAGTTGACCGTAAAAGCTTAATTTACAACGTTCATCCCAAAATATGTATCAAGTACATTGTATTAAGAGTCATTTTGTTAAATATGTTTTGTCTGGTATTTGAAAAACATGAGTAATTTGATAAGAAAAGAAAAATTATCTGGAGTCAATTCTATTCACTCATCTTAGTAAGAAATGGACATTCACTAACTTTCCAATGCTTACAACTAAAAGATACTTAATAAATATGAATTTGAAGAAACTGGATTTTACACTTTATTCATTAAAACTGGCAAACTAAAATGCCTGTTTATAGCAAAAAGAACAGCCATAATTAAAAGGAGCAAAAAGGGAAAAAACAACTATGGTACTTGATAACACAAAAAAAAAAAAAAAAAAGAGGAAAAAATAACAACTTAACCAATCATCACTCCTCACTCATCAGAACTCAATTAAGAAAAGTAAAATGTGTGTGTGCAATTGATTAAAGAGGAAACACAAGAAAAAGAAATCATATATATATATAATTTTTTTTTCAGGTTTCCTTTTTGGTCAAATGTGCACAAAAATCTTACCAGTTCTTTTTCACAATAAACTACCATAGTAGTTTTTCCTTTTTGTACCTTTAAATTATGTCCAGCCTTTTTGCTACCATTTTATACCTTTAATAAGATCTTTAAAATGTTTGTATTGAAAAGGAGCTAATTTGGAAGTGTTACGAGAACTGTTTCAGGCATTCTTTTTCTCAGATGTGAATCTGCACCAAAAATTTCTTAAAATAGTGGAGAAATTAGACTGGTTGAAATATTGTGGAAAGAAGGGAAAAAATTGTGTATCAATTCTGTCCATTTGTACATCTTAGGTGGTTTTTTGTGTTTGTGAGGTATATGACAAGTTATCAGTTCTGACAGCTTAATGATTCCATTTTAGAAAGAATGAAGATGTCAGGGTTACAGTAAGCAATTTAAATCTATTAATTCCATAGGGTTAGGAATGTGCATTTCACTTTTACCAGAGTCAACAGGTATTTCTATCTCTATTAATGTTATAGCTTTGTAAGAAAATAGTTTGTACAGAATTACAAACCTCATAAATAAAAATGTTTGCTTGTTATTTACAAATTATAATCTTCCTTTAGAGTTGCCAGAAAACAGGTTGAGTTACATCTAAAGCAGAGCAACATTTGCTATAATAATCAGAAATCACTTCTGAAAACTTGTTAAATATTTCATGCATGATAAAGGAAATTTCAAAACTAGAAATATGCTTTGAACAACTGGGAAAAATAAAAAACAAATGAACATACCAAAGACTGCAGAATGCACATAGCTTTACAAAACTGTTTAATCATTACTTAACTAATAAATTAAGAAAAAGATTAAGTCAAAAATTACTAATTCTCTCCTCTCACCACAAACCAAAAATTCATCAAAGTTCAAACAATTACCTGGTAACTTAATAAGTAATACTTAAGATTTCAATTAAACTTAGTAAAAAGCCTAATACAGTGAAAAATGTTCTTATCACATTTACAGACTTGGTTGTGAAAACAGTAAAACTTATTCGGTTTACAAATAAATGATAACAGATACCAAAGAGGGAGAGAGCATAATGGTTTGGCTTAAGATAAGCCAAAATATTAGACTGTTTTCTCTTTTACTTGCACCCATACACAACTTTATTTTTCTCAAATATGTACATGCAAAAAAAAAAAAAAGATTTAAAAATATTTTCATGTACAAATTCAGCTGTAATTTAGAAGGTAAGATTTGGTTTATAAACCTCATATGAAAAGGGTGTGTATTTTTTTTTTTGCTTTGATAATCAAAATTATCCTTTGCTATCATTCCTACTACATATGAATTGTGTTCATGTAAGGGGAAGTAATTAAGTTTTGATTGCAACTAAGGGAAGCAACTCACAGTAGCATATCTAAACAAAAATAAACACTTGGAAGTATTAAAAATATTCAGTCGTCAGGACAAATCAGTTAACAGATTATTAATTTATATACAAACCTTTTCATAAGATTTATATGTAAGTATATAAGAACTAAAGCGTCTGGATAAAATGAATGCCACATAAAAGATTTCATAAATATGTAGATTGTTTTTTTAAGCAAATGATTTTACTCTTCCTACAAAATAGATAGACTGAACAAGTTTGAAGAAAAAAAAATTATCAAGCATTATGATGTTGCTGAAATGTCCCCACCCAATAGTAAACTGTTATTTTTTATAACAAAAGATCCAAAGCAGACAATATAATTCAAACTTTCTAGCCACTGACTAAATTATGAATAAAAATTATTTCAAAAGCATTTAAAATGAATTGGCAAAGGTATGTAAAAAAAAAAAAAAAAAAAATTAATAATAAAAATGACAAATAAAATAAACAAATTTTTACAGCTTTACTGAATGGAGGTTTCTTTTTGTAATTGTAAAAAAAAAAAAAAAAAAAGTAGAGAGCAAAAATGAATTTAATGTCTGCATCCTTTAAGAATATATGCAGCATTGTTTTAATAAAGAAATTAAAATTAAAAATTAAGTAATTTCAGTAAATTAAATCATTAAAAAATAAATCTAAAAAGTAAATTTTAAAAAAAGTAAAAAAAAAACAATTTTTTTAAAAAAACATGAACCCAAGTTTTCTACCCCAAGAGTTTGAAGATCTGAAAACTCCTGCCAGTCAGTCTTCACAGATGCCCTTCAGCAAATGAAAATATCAGTAGAATTATTTGAGTTTCTCTATTTTGGATTTAATCACAAGAAATTCCGTTATTCCCTGAAGGGTACATGTAGAAAGAAAGGAAGAAAGAAAGAAAAAAAAAAAAAAAAAAAGAGTTAGAAGTTCTGCAACTCAGGAAAGATTTAGTCATAAATAAATATTAGACACATTTGAAATCAAGACAGAAAGACAAACATTCCCTACAGAGTGCATTGCTCATCT